ACTTGGGGGAACAGTAATCCTCTACAATGAACTCAAACTTTTTGTCTCTTTAAACTGTTTTAATGTAGATAACTTGTTGTTCAACTTTTCACAATCAAGGCTAGCAGTATCTCTCTGACAAGACCTAGTTACAGCTCCTTTTATCCAGACTGAATCTGAAGGCTGCCAATCTTACTCAAACTTAAAATAATCTTACATCAGTAAAAATTCGATTGGCTATAAGAATTATTAACATATTTTCCTTCGAGGTTGTGTCGTAATAGGAAAATCAGTTAAAACTCCAAAATTCACTTTTGTCAAACAATTGTCCAGTCAAAACAAAACAGTCGGAGACACACAAAAATTACAAGGAATGTTTACATGAATGAAAATCACATATGTACATTATCGTTACTCTAAAATGTACAAATTTTCAATTCGCGTACAGTGCTTAAGTTGTCGTTTAAAAGTTTCTTGTTGGAATATCGTACAATGGTAATTAGTCCCGCCTTTTTTCCATATATTAACTAAAAGATTGTTTACAAATCTCTAATCAAAAACAATTAGCAAGATATTTACATTGCGAAAGCCTTTAAACAAAGATATCACTCGTTACAACTTTTAGCAAGTAAATTGAACTAGGCAGTAACAAAAGCTTGTTTATCACAACGAGTTAACTAAGATAGTCTGTTGGACAAGGTTTTCTTTCGGAAGCGCACTGAAGTTTCGATCAAACCATTAAATACGCGAAAGATAGTAACAATTGGAATGTCCAGGAAAAGACAACTTGGTAAGGTCAAGCTTCTGAAGATTTAGGAAAAATCAATTAAGCCAATTAATGTAAGATAACAAACAAATGTCGTTAAATTTACCAGAACTAATTAGATTAAGAACCTCTGTGTGGGTTAAGTTTAAACAAAAAGCATCATTTCTTAATTGAATAGTGGCACGTGTGCAAAGAAAACCAACGTCCAAAAGAGCATCTTTACAGAGAAAGGCCAAACCTTATTAACGAAAAACAAATAGATTTTGTAAGCCCAGTACATTCTAGTAGAACGTATTTATATAACAATTCAAAACACTCTACTTAGTGATAATGATAATTAAAATATTTTAAAATAGCAATGCTTGATGATTCATTAACGTTCCTTATTCGAAAAAAGGTATTTTCATTTTGGTATTAACTTATACCCCAAAATATCGTTTTACAAAACCAAAAGATGACAGACTCAAACAATTAAAGTGTTAATTCACGCAAAACCCTGAAAATATAGGCTAAATTGTAACCAGACCGAAACCCGACAAAGGGGTGCAATCAGCAAAGAACTAATGAAATAACTTTCTAAAAAAAAAAAAAAAAAAAAAAAAAAAAAGAGGACAGTAGATATATCTAGCAACCTTTGTGGCATTACAGGTGTGGTATGGAATCCCTAATGAAAGGGTTCCCAAGTCTCCACTAAAATAGTGGGTAAGGTGGGGAGGGAGGATGCGTGTATACAAGGGTGTTGTGTGTATAAAAACAGAACAAAAAAGTTAGATGTTAAGATTAGCACTGATAATGAGGGACGGGCAAACTGCAGAGCAGCTATGTCTACCTCAAAGAAGTGCAAAAAATTATGTAGTAGAAAGTAATAATTGCTGAAATTTTAATAACGATAGGATTAAATAAAATATTAAAGTTGAAAAATAAAAAGAATAAGTATTGAGGGACTGGCAAACTGTCAAACAGCTATGTCAACCTCAAAAAAGAGTTAGGATAAGTATAAGAGGATGAGGGGTTAGAAGGTAAAAATAATAAGAAGGATGATAGGAAGATGAAAGGGGAAAAGAGGGACCGGCAAACTGCAAAGCAGTCATGTCAACCTCTTGGAGAGTTAAAAATAAAGAGGAGAGAAGAGGAAAAGGAGGAAAAAAAAAATATATTTTTAATAATAAAATGAAATGAAATAAATGATAGAATGAAATAAAATAAAATAAATGAATAATAAATCCGGGTTAAACAAAGGAAAAAGCTAACAAAGGAATTACTTCAATAGCTTTAATGTGTGATTTTTTCTTCTTCTTCAAAAATAATGGTAACATGTTTGTGCAAAAATGAAAACGTACAGCTGTATCTTTGGTGAAAACAAATTATAACAACCCAGATGGTTTGTTAACTGATACAGTGAAAACACTACATGAGCTTCACATAATTGTTGGTGTATAGTCGTTCTTAAAAACTTATCGAATCATTGAAATAGTTAAAATTAGATGGAAATATATTCGTTCTTAAAACACTCAAGGAGTTATCGACTCTGGAAATAATTATTCTTTTCATTAAAAGTTGAAAAAGACTCAGTAGTTTCTCTGGTAACTATAGCAACATCTGCACAGTTGTGAAAATTGTGAAATAAATTAAAATGTTGGATAATACTTTAAAATATAGTCCGATATATTGGATGAAATACAACATTAGAATTAAGTAAAGGAAAAAGTCACATGTAATCTTCCATAAAAAAGGGGGACGGGGTTAATAGAAATGTACAGGATAGGAACTTTCATGATGAAACTATTATAAGTAGTATAACTTGAAATATTACAAAAATGTAATTGAAAGAGAATTTAAATGGTTAGTTTTTAGTGGTCCTTTTGTGTTCGTAGATATTAACAATTATAAGGAATACAACTTGTAAATTTTTAAAAAATATTTTTTGAAAGAGAATTTAAGATGGTTAGTCGTTAATTATTGTTAGTCGATCTCTTTTGTCCGTTAAGGTAGAGCCATTCTTCACAGTGCAGATCAAAATAAAACCAGATATGAGATTTGTTATCCATGTTGTTGAGAAGAAAGTCTAGCTGGCGGGCACGTTTTTCTGCCTTTCTGTCAGTGGTCCAGTGTTGTGACGTCATGATCCAGTGTGAAGTGAGGTGGGGTGAACAGCCATTGCCAATTAAAAATAAAAACAGTTTGAAAGTGTTCTTGTCGCTTATTGGTTTTTTCCAAAAAATTAACTTAAAATCTTGTGGCCAAACAGAAAGTGGATAAAAAGCGTCGCCGTTGATAGAATTAAAAAGTTGAAGACGTTGTTGGATAATAGATGCACGGGAGAGGTTGCGGAGATGGTGATGGTAAAAGTGGAGTGTGGAGTGGTTGTTATCCATAGTTGAAAGTAGTCTGTTAAGATAACAACAGAGGAGGGGGTGGGGATGAGAGCATCAGGATGGTAATTCGTAATTAATATCTATTAATAGTAATAGGTAATAGCGTCATAAGTTATGACAAAATTGTCTTATTTTCATTAAAGGAAAAAAGGAAGTATGAGAGGAACAAAAGAGTGTGAAGGAGAATGGGAATACCCGGGTATGGCAAGAAAAAGGATGCATCGACACCAAGGCTCCTGTAATGTTGTGAATCGTCAGGGGCAAAGCACAACTGAGCGAGGATGTTTCTAGCCCGGCGCCGAGCCTTTGCCCGACATCCTCTGTGTCGAGTCCTAGAGAAGAAAAAAAGGGGAGAGAGGAGGGAAATGGCCGGGAGGTAGCCAAGAAGAGAGAGAGAGAGAAAAGAAAGAGAAGAAGAAGAAGAAGAAGAAGAATAGAAAAAAAAAAACACAAACAAATAAACTTTGAGCAGAACAATATACTCTCTTTGTATGTAAATAGAGTTGGAAAACGATAATTAAAAAAAATTTTATAACGGTAAAGTGGAAAGCAGTAGTTGAGTAGTTTAAAAGTAACAAATTAATTAAGCTAAAGTGACAATATCTTACCACGAAAACAAAAGGTTTCTTCAAAAATGCCGGTTGTGAAAAAAGTTCAGTCCTGGAAATAAGGAGGCCCAAAATTAAAAACAATTATAAGGGATGAGGAGAAGTCCCGTAGAGAAATACTTACGTCTGGAAAGAAATGGCTCCTCTAGGGTAAACGTAAGAAAAGAGTGAAAAATGCGGAACAAAATTCTGTCGCAACAAAAAAAATTTTTGTGAAAACAAATTAAAATTGACGCCAGAATGACGCGAGCCAATGACGTGCGAGAAAGGTGTCGCAATGATAGATGGGATAGCTGTTAACCTTTCGAAGGATATGAGCGGCCATGAGGGTTGAAATTGTGTCTATAAAGCGTAGAAATCAGTCTTTTCAAGGCCAAGTGTCGAATTATTCATGGAGTGGTAGTTATCGTAGTGTGCTGGGATGGATTTGTAGTACGCAGGTTTTGTTCGGAGTTATATCGCAATCGGTGAGTCGGAACAACAATTTCAGTATGATCGATCGTTCTTCTTGTGGATGAAAACTGGAGCTGAGTTCAGGAGCTGAGTGCAGGTTGAGCCAGCAAACTGGTCGTTGGAGGTAAGGAATCGAAGTTAAGTATTCATAATATGGTATATCGTTCTTTTTGTGATGACGATGAGTTTAGTCTGAAAGAGTTGTCTGTGTGTGAGTTGTGTTTTACAAGGATAAGGGTGGTAATATTTCGCTAGATGTAAGGAGTGGAGTTGCAAAACAAGGCAGTATAAAAAGGGGGAGACGCGATACGATGCCGCAGTGAAATAGGCAGTGACTGCTTTCGAGATTAAACCCTCTGAATAAATTTATTGATTAAGTCCTAGAATTATAATGCTAAAAAAGCTTGTAGTAGGGAATAGTGAAAATCGACTGAAATATTAGGGTATTTACATAAGAATGGTAGTGTAACTTTTTAGTGAAAGTAAAATATCTATTAGAATGATTTAAAATATGATTGCACGCAAGTGTCAAGTAGAATGAATTAAGACTTGATTACATACAAGTGTCAAATTTAAAAGTTATTAAAGCTTGAAGCTAGCATAATTCTATATTGAAGTAGTGCAAAAGTGTTCATATGTCTATTGATGTTGCACATTGTTTAGGGTATAATAAGTTAAATTTGTAGTGCTAGAATTCTAATCGTATTAAAAGTGGAGAAATTATGTACATGGTGGCAGATGAAGAACCCGCTGAGATGAAATAAATAACTAGCAAAGATTTGGCAACAGAAAAATTGGTTGCTGGTAGATAAAAAATTTTTAAGTGGTAGAATTATTAAATAGGATTAATTTATGGTGTAACATTTTATTAGTAAGAAGGAGTGTGTGGAGTTTAGTAGAGTTGCAGTATGCTTTTGAGAGTTTCGGTATGTGTGGGTTGTGGTATTTGAGTAGAATGTTGTTGACCAGTTTGTCTGTTCGTTTGTCTTTGTTGTATAGAGTCTTGTAGTAAACAGTGGGTCTGGTAACGTTATTGGTCTGTTTGTTTTTGAGGCGTCGCTGGTGAGCAGTGCGTGTGATCCATGGAAATGAATGTTCAGTGATCAGTTGTAAAGGATAGTCTAAGGCAGTAAGTCTAAGTGTGAAGAGGTGGTGAATGAAGTTGTAGTCGTCTAATGTGGCTGAAAGTCTACTGTATCGTATAGTTTCAGTTTTAATGATACCAGCAAAAATATGATGAGGGTGGTTAGATGAAAAATGAGGGTACATGTATTTGTGGTGTGGTTTCTGGTAGATTTGGTGATGCACTCTGTGGGACTTGATGGTGAAGTGGTTGAGTGACAAAGTGAGATCTAGGTAATGAGTGGTATGGTGATTTGATGTGAAAGTGAGAGGTATTTGTGGCGGGTAAGAGCTGCAAAGGTTAGAGATTATATTAGGTAAGTTAGCTTTGCTGGTTAGCATAAATCCATCATCTATATAACGGCAGAAAAAAAAAAAATGCTATTAGTAGGGCAGTTAGTATTAAAAAAAAAGAAAATTCGCTTAGTAGGAGCACGAGGTCCGCAATTTGCCGGCTATGGTAGCTGCCCATAGCAACCCCTTTAATTTGCTGGTAGGTGGTATTACCAGCCCTAAAAAAGTTACGTTGGTTAATAAAATTATTAAGGTTAAGCAAATAATCCCTATAAAAATTAGGCAAATTAAGCAGTTTACAGCTCTTAATGATGGCTTGAGTGGTGTCATGGTATGAAATGTTTGTGTAAAGTGATGTGAAGTCAAAAGTTGTAACACATAATTCGTACATGTTGATAATACGTAGTTTGTCTAATAAAAGCAGTAAGTCATATGAGTTGTAAATCAATGGGTATGGTATGTTTCGTTCTTCAAAAAGGTTTTTCAGTTGTAAAGTAATATTGTCTAGTTCAGTTCCCAGTAGACGTGAGGGGTTGGATGTTATCCAGCTGTGCGCAGTGATAATAGGTCTACCAGTTAGTTTGTTTAGGTTGTCGTATGATGCAGGTTTGTCGAGTTTGTGTACTTTAGGTAGTAGTTTCATGTAGGGTAGTTGTAGTCTGTCTTGTGGGGTGGGGTCCAACAGTCGCGAGTTGTCCTGGTTAGTGATAACAGTAGAGAATCGTTTTTTGAGTTGGCCAAGTAGTGTGTGGGAGTTAGTGATGGTTTGTTTACAGTTAAAGTTGTCGATACGTTTGTAGGTAGAAAGGTCGGAGAAATGTCGTTTGTACTCGGTGGAGAACCATGAGGTAGGCACAAAAGCCCAACCCATGTTTTTGTCAGAAACTGTAAGTATTTCGTCATTGTCGTTCTGTACGTTTGTAATGTAAGATGTGGTGTGTGGGAGGGTGTTACATAATTTAGGATAAATAATAGAACGCAATTTAGCAGGTTGCAAAAATTCTTTAGTGAAGGAAACAGTATTGTGAACATAGTCAATGAGGTGAAGGTTGAAGTGAGGCCGTGATTGTTCTTGTTGTAGTAAAGGAAGCGGATGCATCTGCTTGCGGTAAGGATGGAAACGGAGAAGTGATTTGGAGGTTTTAGATGAGTTGAGCTTGGTGGTGTGGTTTTTCTTGCGGATGAGGGAACAGAGGGCTGTGTTGACTTCAGATTCGATGGTCTTTTGGAGAGAAGAGATGCTTGGCGTAGTGGTGGTAGGGATGAAGTTAGTTCCTTTGTTGAGTAAAGAGATGGCATCAGGTGGCAGTGATGTGGAGGTGAAGTTGTGAACTTTGTTTGATGAAGATAGTTTGATTTTTTCTGATTCAGTGAAAGTGGCGTGTTGTGACTTTAGGTTCTGTTCCATGATATGGGCGGTGTTTGAGGAGGAAAGGGTGTGTCTTGTCTGGAGAAGGTGGAGGAAGAGTCTGTGGGTATTGTTGATTTTGTTTAGTTGATGACGGAGTTGATGGCCTTTGTTGAGCTGATGTGACGACTTGAGGAAGGAGGTATGCTTGGAATGATGTGTTAGTTGGCTTTGTTTGATGGTTTTAATGCGTAGTTGTAGGTGGCTGTTATGGGAGTGTAAAGTGGCGATGTCTTCTTGCAGGCTGGCTGGTGTCTGGTTTGAGGATGAAGTGGTAGACGTGGTGATGGTCGAGTTTTTATCTTTGAAAAATATGGTATTTAGTTGACATTGAAGTTGGAAGATAAGGGCACAAAGGCCATAGTTACTTCCAGAAAGAAAATTTCTCTTTGGGCTTCTTTTGCTGCGGAGATGTTTTTGCTTTCTTGCCTTGAGGCGAACTGATTTTGGTTCCTTGCCCTTTTCTTTTTATAGCTTTTTTGCCAGCTCCTGATTGTGTCTGCAATGAATTCTGAGAAGGTAGACCGAGGGCTTGTTTCGTGCGCTTGTGGACTGCTGTTTTAATGTTATCTCCATCAAGAACATCTTGGACGACATTGACACCTGTTTGTAAAGCCTTTTTTCCAATCACCTTAGCACCCTGTTGAAGGTGAGGCATCGCCCAGCGAAACAGACCTCTGAATATGGACCCTAGTCCATAACCATGCTGAAATCGAGCACCGTGAAACGCTGGTAAACTCCCACCTTTTTGTTTGGCTTGATTAACATAGTACTGTTCGTACAACTTGTGATTTGGAGTGTGGAGTTTCTTCATCTTTAAAAGTACTGAGGTGCACTTTGACGAAAATGAAGTGTTAACAACACTCTCCCAAACTCAAATGGTACAGACTCCCCTGTGTCTGTCTTTATATTGACTTCGACAGTTTCAAATTGCTTTCTGCTGACAGGTAAATATTGGGGACGCAAAAATGATTTACTGACTCGCTCCCCAACCTTTCCTTCTACAGGAGCAATTCGAAGCAAAGGTACCAATGCATCTCCAACATATTGTGACTGAATAAGATCACAGTAAATGAAAAGGTCGTGAAAGCCGTATTCCAAATCCACTTGTCTTTCAGCGGTAGAGGTATTAGAAATAATTTCGTCTGGTGAAAATCCCAGCAGGTATCCAATGTTACCAAAGAAAAGTTCTACGTTATTTTGTAGGTGAATAGTCACCTTTCTAGTGAACGCATCGTAGGAAAATGTCACGTCGTCATTGAAACGCTTTACATTCTCGATCAGCTCTTTCATCTTTGATAAGATATCTCCAATGGAAGAATAATGACCTGGTGGTACAATTAGGGCTTCCCATACTCCGGACAATTCTTGGTTCCGAAGGTAGAATCGATTACCAAAATTTTCTTGGACATTATTCCAGCTGTGAGGATAGTGAATTTCCGTTAACGCTACTTCCCAGTCCCCGTCAAGCTAACGGTCTGAGGTAAACCAACTTGGTACTCAGTTAATGTGTTGCTGGGAAACTTATCGAGGCTGCTATTGCTAGGGAGATGCAGATAAAACTGTTTTACCTCCATCGTACCCTGTGTTGAAATGAACTTTTTAATCTGGGTATTCTTAATTTATTAGAAACCACACACCATTCATTTTATTATTTCATTTTTTTCTTTTATTCACTACAAAAAATGCATAAATTACAATTTCAAAATATCTCTTTCTTGAACTCAAGAATCAAATTTTGGATCTTTGTATCCTTTCCATCTCACCAGATACTCTACTACGCCTTTACGCTTTCTCTTCCGCAAAATCTTCTCGACGCGGTACACATCATCGTTCTTAATAATTTTCTGTAATTCGGGTTCATAAAATGTTCCATCTAAGATTTCACCTGCATCATCTTTTAGTTTATAAACGGGTACTTGACGAGCCATTCGCTTGTAAACAGTAAAAATTTCTTCCGTAAAATTCGGTAAGTAAGATTTTTCAAACATTCTCTTCACTTTGCTAATCCGGACGCGATCTCCCACTTGAAATTTATATCGCACAGGCTTTTTGAAAATCATCCCCATACAAAGTATCCCACACTTTAGCTTCATTCGCTTTAGTCACCTGACTCGGTTTCATTTTAATACTTCGGTGGTAAGTGTTATTGTAAGAAGACACTAACTGGGGTAATACATTGATATAGGTGAGAGTGTTTTTGGCCGTGAAATATTTGTACATCTTATTCTTAAATGTTCGGTTAAAACGCTCAACCACTGAGGCTTTGAGCCCAGAGTTAACAGTAAAAAAGGCAATGTTGTTGTCACGCAGAAATTTCTGGAACACGAGATTCTTGGAACTCTGTTCCTTGATCTGTTTGCAGTTTGATGGGTTGGCGACCAGTAGAAAGGATCTTTTGAAAGGCTTTGACCAGTTCCTGACCTTGTTTTGTCTTCAACGGTAACACAAACGCGTACTTGCTGAAGATATCTATACAAGTCAGTAAGTATTTATAGCCCTTGTTGTAGCGACTGAGATTTTGGAGGTCGACCAAATCCGCTTGAAATTGCTCATCTATTCCAAAAACGATGACTCGACTTCTCTTGTAGCGTCTTCGTGCGGGTTTGTGAAGAGTATAAACATCTTACTGACTCAACCAATCTCGGACTTGTTTACGCGATATCTTGTTCTTTCCTTTCTCTTTGACTGCTCTGTAAACAGCATCTAAACCACCGAAACTTGCGGGTTGACTTGGGTCGAGGTAGATGCTGGCTAGTTTTTTCTCCATCACAAAATTCCGAGTTTTGTACAACCACTTTACCACCGCAGCAAGCTAATACACAACGTATGCGACTGAAAATGTGTTCAAAACCAAAAGTGGATGATGGCGGACAGCAACCCATCACTAGTGTTTACCTGAACGGTAAAAGATGTAATGACTTCTCTCTCCCTGGTGCTCCTTTATATAGCTACTGTCGAATCTGGGTGAGAGTGGGAACAAGAAGGTGAAATAGTCGTTCCCATTCCTCCTCGGTTAATTCTAGCTGATCCGCGAAGTTCAAAAATACCACCAATCGTCCCCAGTTTACTTTTGAAAAGACCTCAGAGTGGAGTTTTTTCAACCTTTCTAGACTCGAGCCCGGCAGATCTTTAAATTTTTGCTGAAGCATTTCTATTTCACTTGAAGACACTTTCAATGTTTTGGCTTGTGCGCGATACAGAGAAAAGTCGATCCGAAGCAATGACAGAGAAAGCCCCATCTTGACTAAGACAGAGACAAACACGCACTGACTCACAATTTAGTCATGAAGAAATTTTATTACTTTTAGAAACAAAGCTTATTTTGAATGTCATTAATTATCATGTCAAGGTCCATTGGTTGAAACGAAGTTTATGACTATTGACAACGGGCCACAAGGGCCACAGGGGCCACAAGGGCCTTGTATATCACTGTGTTTTTCCTTTACGCGGGTGATTGAATCGCGCGTGGCGCACACACGCGCGCAACAAACCGTGTTTAGTATATTAAACCATATTTATTTACAAACTATGAACCAATGACATTTTTTTACACATAAAGGAAAACTCTTTATATACAATGCGATACAGAGAAAAGTCGACCCGAAGCAAAGGCAGAGAAAGCCCCATCTTGACAAGGACAGAGACAAACACACACCGACTCAAAATTTTAGTCATCATGAAGAAATCTTATTACTTTTAGAAACAAAGCTTATTTTGAATGTCATTAATTATCATGTCAAGGTCCATTGGTGTTCTTCTTTTCTCACGACTCTATCAGGGCATTCTATTGTTTCTTGTTGATCACTGAAATCCTTCCATTTGAGCCCATTTGGTCGGTAGTATAGAGCGAATAAAATACGGCTTTGAAGATCATCACCCTGCTGGACAACATCAAGTTCCAGAGAAGCGAGGTAAATACTGGTCCACGACAATATTTGGCAGTACGCTTCCCATGATTTATCTAGTTTGAAGCCGAGAGCACTGCATATACTTTCGGTAGCGTTCAACATAGAATTCAGGTCAATTTGTTCCACCACTTCATCCTGGTAATTTCATCCTGGTAATTTCATCCACATCACTTCATCCTGGTAATCCTGGTCACCGAGTGTTGACAGAGTGCGACGCACAAAATGTAGATATTTTATTAGATTTGTAAATAAAAAAAAATACCGTTCTCGACAGGATTCGAACCTGTAAGCCTCGAGTCCCACCTGGCCGGCTGGACTCATCGGCCGAAAGCGAGAACTTCTTGCCAGTACCGGCGATGGCCACCGAACCATCGCTTTCCCGGCCATTTTTTTGATGACTTTTCAAACTTTTTAAAACGAAATGGGCGTGACGTCAATAGGAGGTCACACACGTTCCGATTGTAACGCTAGGTATGACGTCAGAATAAAATTGGTTGAAACGTGACTTTCCGTGTGTCTTACATGACGGGGGAATGTTGGGAGACTTTTCGTGATGGTTTTACATGTAGTACTAACCCCCATGAAATCCTGAACGCTGATTGGTCGAGAGTGAATTAATTCAGTCACGTGTTTGAAATACTCGATTCTGATTGGCTGTGTGATGAAGTAACCAGTATTACTACTGAGAGGAAAGGAAAAAAAGAGAAATATAAAAATTAAACCTTATTTTATTGACGCAGTAAGTATCATAAACAATGTACATATGTAATGCTCCAAGTATAATGGCATTCAAGTAAATAAAAACAAACAAAAAAATTATGCAAGATTTTAAAAAGTGTCGAGTCTCGAATAATAAGCAAATTAGAAAATGTAAATTCATTTAACAAACCTTCGGGTCCCATTGTTCTAAGAGTTACACAGGACATAGCAATAATAATGTACAAAAGTATATTTTATGCTTTAGTTATACAGTGGAACCCCTTTAATGCGGTCACCATGGGTCAAAAAATTTGGCCGAAAAATGGGTGGCCGTATTATATATCGGTGCAGGCTCAAAGGGTCATAATGACAAATGCACCGTACAACGCATTCGAATTTCTTGAACAACTGTTCTCATTAATAAACAACCGGGATGTAGCTTAAATTTACACTTTATGTGTACTGTAGTCTAAACGCAGTACAAGAACACGCTTAGAGTACTAGGTCAATAAAATTGACATGTCACAGGCATTTAAATTTTCTAAATTTCGAACAAGTGGCTGTATTAATGGGGTGAAGTTATAAAAGATTCTACTATTTGGGATTTTAAAATGTGGCCGTTGGCCGTATTAACAACGGGTGACCATTTTATAAGAAAATGTATGGCCGTTTTGCCGGGCCAAAAAAAGTGGCCTTAATAACGAGGTGACCGTATTAACGAGGGGGTTCCATTGTACATCTGATGTTTTCAATTTAAGCAACTGAAGTTATAACCTGAGAAATTCAGGCAATTTTGTGATTCCCAGGATAATTACTACAACCTATGGGAAACACAGCATCAGATATATATATTTCTTTCATATGAAAATTTCCAAATAAAGGACATCGCAAGAAAATACAAAATGGCCACTTGACAGTACCAAACAAAGAATTTCCAGCCGCTTTAGGTGTTTCAGCGTGATCTGTGAGTAAAGTTAATTTTTTAAACGATTGCTGTCGAAAAAATTTCTTTTGTATCGGATGAACTTGAAGGTACAGAGAATACTCAATAACCAAACATACTGTAATCCTTTTATTTCGGACTGGAAAAACATTGTCCTTCTTGGTGTGACTTTGTCTTTTAAACACCTAAAATGGCGCAAAGTTTCATTGTTTTATCTGCAGCTTAATGTTTACCAAGACGTGTCGATAAACACAGCTGATATCACTGGCGAGCCAAACTAGAATACGGCTACAAACAGAGATACAACAAAGATTTCAAAATAGAACTAACGTTACAAATACTAACTTCGATTTACAATGATTTCAGAAAAACTGTTTCAGTTGTGTTTAAACTGCCTTTATACGGCGGGCGCGATACTCTCAGGGAGTAGACCACATCGAGAACAGTCTCATAACTGAAGTAATTTTCAGATGAAAAGATATGTTTTATCACGCACAAAATTATTTTAAACTATAAGAGTGAACGGAATCTGCTAAGGACAAGATATTTTACACTGAACAAATATACTGCCTTTAACGCTTTTGTACGAAAAACTTTACAAATAAAACTATATATGGTATGAGTAACTAAAACTTCATATTTCAACCCTTAAAAGACAAATCATCACATAAAATGAACAAAACGAAAGCAGACTGGGACAAAATACGTCATTTCTCAATTTGGAAGGGGTTTGGAAGCAACAAGTATACTTGTGAAGAAAAATTATCCACAAAGACTAGCATTCTTTAGTTACCTGAAAATTTAACAATATCTGTTTTGAAAACAATTTATGTCGGTCTTCAGTGATATGACTTGAACGTGTAGAACTGGATGTTACGAGTATATAGCTGATTCGAGAAAGGTTGTCTTGTGAATGCTGAGGCATTAGTGAATGTTATTAAATCGTATTGTTTCGACCTTACACGCGAAGACCTTTGATATGTGTGCATAGTTCCTTTCGTTTTTATTCCTTTACTTGAGTCCCATTCGACTGCAAGTCACCTTGGTACCGGCAAAATGAGCTCATAGATTTCGTCATACTGTGCTGTTTCCGTTATATTGCCGGGCTACAATGCAACTAAAAAAAACACATGATTGTTATTTTTTTTTTATAAGGGAACGTATAAGGTACGTATAACGTGTTTCCGAGATTTTTGAAGCTGTTTTAAACTCTCCGGAGAGCTTAATTTCGGAAACTGGGAATGAAACATTCAAAGATAAAATCCTTTTATTTCTCCAAACTTCAGTAAGGTTTGTTGCAACTTTAAAAAATGAGCCCCAAAATTTTCAACTTTGTTCGTGGTAATTCCATCTTAATCCTTTTTATCTGAAACAATTCTTTACCTTATAAGTATTATCAACTAGTGGTATTTCTAACACCTTTGGTGATTTTCCGCGTTCAAGATATTTTTTGCGTTTCATTGACTCGATAACTGTTCGACTAAACTTACCCAAAGAACCACACCCTCACTGGTCGAAATTTAAAGTGACGTCATCGCCAATCAGCATAAATGGCGCCCAGTACTTCACGGCATTGAATTCGTCTGACTCCCGCATCATTTTCATGGCCTCATGAAGTGACTTACTTGCAGTCTGCCCCTTGACTAAATGCTCGTAGAAGTGTTTCATAAACGTCAGAGTAGCATCGTCGTCAATCTCCCACAGTGACGCAATAACAGAGCGCGCACCAGCTCCTAAAAAGGCACGTGCAATACCCACCACGCCCTCGGCTTTAATCTTCCCTCGCCCACTGTGACAGCAGCTTAGGACAACAAGCTTGGCGTTCAATTTAGCATCCAACACATCTTTCATGGTCAAAAGAAAGTCTTTCTCTTCGGGAGGTTTGGAGCTGCCAAGATTAGGTGACAACAGAATTTCACCCCTTTCTGCAGAGCCATGAGCTGCTATGTGAACTAAAGAAACTGAGTGTAGTTTGCGTAGCACTTGATCTTTTGTAGCGTTCTTCCCCATGAGAGGCTCAACGTTCAATATCTGTCCAATCATTTTTACCTCCTTTTCAGCACCAGGGAGTTGCGTGTATCTCGTTGGTTTTTTCTTTTTCTGGCTTTTAAGGCGAACAGTCTCGATCCACGGGTCACCAACTAGTAGGGCACCAGATGTACTATGGCGTTCCTCCGGACAATCTATCAGCAGCCTCAAGCTTGTCAGTGATGGAGCCAATCGAATTCTCAGAGTTTCAGACAAATATCTGGACTTCTGGTCCACAAGAGCAGCATAAGGAATCAAGAATGATGAACCATCAGGAACAATGATAAGTTCCTCATCTTCTATCAAGTGTGAAATCGGAGCGATCATAACATCATACAACTCTCTTAAAGTATCATTCCCAGCTGGTGACGATGTAGTTCTTTTTCATCTTTACCTCTATCGGATAAATCTTCAACTGTTTCATCGTCTGGATAATCCAGCGAGCGATCTTCGCACTTGGCAGGTTCAGTAGCCCGAATTTGTTCAAAAGTTTTGTCAGTCATATCTTTCAAGGTACCATTGATTTTCTTTTCCATAAATTGGCACTCCTGTCCTTTATACATTACCCAGAAATGCACCGTTTCATTTGCTGCCGCAAGAAATGCCGTAGGCGATGAAAGAAGACTTGAAATGTTAGTTATCCTTTCTATCGTCTCTTTTGGTGCTGTTGGAGTCGATTTTGCACCAAATTGTGATTCCATAAGATCCGTGAGAGCTTGCGCTCGTCCCCGCTCAGCTGTGAAAAGAGCCTCTTTGGTCTTTCCTTGTCGTAACTGACTAATCCACAAAGAACTGTACGTTTTTACTTGATCCCGAAAGCTGATTTTCCATTCGTCTTTCTCTTGAAGAAGGAACCTCATGTCCTCAAACACTTTTATACTGGATTCATAACACTCTTCAGCCTTAGGGAAATCATGAAGATTTTGAAAACCAAGACCAAGATTGTTGTATGACTTTCGTTCTGTGCTTTTGTCTCCAATCTCTTTTGCGATACTAAGGGACTGCTGATGAAATTCGATTGCTTTTTGATAATCACCGAGACATCCATACGCAACGCCAAGGTTGGTATATGCTTTGCCTTCTGAACCTTTCTCTCCAATCTCTTTTGCGATACTAAGGGACTGCTGATGAAATTCGATTTCTTTTTGATAATCACCGAGACATCCATACGCAACGCCAAGGTTGGTATATGCTGTCCCTTCTGAACCTTTCTCTCCAATCTCTTTTGCGATACTAAGGGACTGCTGATGAAATTCGATTGCTTTTTGATAATCACCGAGAGAGTAATACGCAACGCCAAGGTTGGTATATGCTTTGCCTTCTGAACCTTTCTCTCCAATCTCTTTTGCGATACTAAGGGACTGCTGATTAAATTCGATTGCTTTTTGATAATCACCGAGACATCCATACGCAACGCCAAGGTTGGTATATGCTTTGCCTTCTGAACCTTTCTCTCCAATCTCTTTTGCGATAATAAGGGACTACTGATGAAATTCGATTGCTTTTTGATAATCACCGAGACATCCATAAACAACGCCAAGGTTGGTATATGCTTTGCCTTCTGAACCTTTCTCTCCAATCTCTTTTGCGATACTAAGGGACTGCTGATGAAATTCGATTGCTTTTTGATAATCACCGAGACATCTATACGCAACGCCAAGGTTGGTATATGCTTTGCCTTCTAAACCTTTCTCTCCAATCTCTTTTGCGATACTAAGGGACTGCTGATGAAATTCGATTGCTTTTTGATAATCACAGAGACATCCATACGCAACGCCAAGGTTGGTAGATGCTGTCCCTTCTGAACCTTTCTCTCCAATCTCTTTTGCGATAATAAGGGACTGCTGATGAAATTCGATTTCTTTTTGATAATCACCGAGACATCCATACGCAACGCCAAGGTTGGTATATGCGTTGCCTTCTGAACCTTTCTCTCCAATCTCTTTTGCGATACTAAGGGACTGCTGATGAAATTCGATTTCTTTTTGATAATCACCGAGACATCCATACGCAACGCCAAGGTTGGTATATGCTTTGCCTTCTAAACCTTTCTCTCCAATCTCTTTTGCAATAATAAGGGACTGCTGATAAAATTCGATTGCTTTTTGATAATCACAGAGACATCCATACGCAATGCCAAGGTTGGTATATGCTTTGCCTTCTGAACCTTTCTCTCCAATCCTTTTTGCGATAATAAGGGACTGCTGATAAAATTGGATTGCTTTTTGATAATCACCGAGACATCCGTACGCAACGCCAAGGTTGTTATATGCTTTGCCCTCTGAACCTTTGTCTCCAATCTCTTTTGCGATACTAAGGGACTGCTGATGAAATTCGATTTCTTTTTGATAATCACCGAGACATCTATACGCATCGGCAAGGTTGGTATATGCTTCGCCTTCTGAACCTTTCTCTCCAATCTCTTTTGCGATACTAAGGGACTGCTGATGAAATTCGATTTCTTTTTGATAATCACCGAGACATCCATACGCAACGCCAAGGTTGGTATATGCTTCGCCTTCTGAACCTTTCTCTCTAATCTCTTTTGCGATACTAAGGGACTGCTGATGAAATTCGATTTCTTTTTTATAATCACCGAGACATCCATACGCAACGCCAAGGTTGGTAAATGCTTTGCCTTCTGAACCTTTCTCCCCAATCTCTTTTGCGATAATAAGGGACTGCTGATGAAATTCGATTGCTTTTTGATAATCACCGAGACATATATAAGCAACGCCAAGGCTGGTATATGCTTTGCCTTCTGAACCTTTCTCTCCAATCTCTTTTGCGATACTAAGGGACTGCTGATGAAATTCGATTGCTTTTTGATAATCACCGAGAGAGTAATACGCAACGCCAAGGTTGGTATATGCTTTGCCTTCTCCATGCTTGTTCCCTGCCTGTTTGGCTTGAATCAATTCCAACTCGAAGTAATTTCGGGCAGTTGTGAAATCACAGCGTCTGAAAGCTGCAACTGCGAGGTTATAATAGGAGGTTTTGTCGTTTATCTTATGTTTGCCTTCAGCTTTCCGGAAAGACTAAAAACAAAGCAAAATTACCAATTTTAACAAAATTGGATATTCTGCTGATTTCTAGCTAATGCAAAATAATACTCCCATCCGTTAAAAAGCTTCTTTAACCTTTCAAAAACTCATTAATAATTCATCAGCTCAACAACTTATCACGTCCGCTAAAATCCGTCACGTGCTCGTGTTTTAATTAGCAGTTAATGAATGAGGCTGAGTAGGATATGAAGAATTAAGCAGATCGAGGAGGGTGTTATCCACCAAGGCCGATGCTTAATTCCTCATATCCTACGAAAGCCGAGTTCATTAATTGCTTTATTATTCATTCAAAATAATTCCTTGTTTAAATACATAGCTAAAACATGCTTACCTGCATCGATGTTAAGTTCATCTTTGATGGTGTACGTTTAGGTTTGCCCAGCTCCGCAAATAATCTCCAAGTGGCAGTTGTCGCTCCTCCCTCTTCTTTCTGTTTTGCAATGTTTTTAGCTATTATTTCGCCTAGTTCCAGCTGTAGTTCTTACTCTTGAAACGAGTGAAATGTCCGCAATTTTTTGCACAATTAAAACAACTTAACCTCGTCCCCAGGTCTTCTCGGTAACGGTGCCTTAACCTGTAGCGGGCTGCATTTTTGACGTCATTTCCTCGTTAAACACAAATTCTTCCAAATTTGGTCATCAGTAACTGGTCATGGTGAATTATGCGTGTACTTTTAGCCAATCAGAATTGGGGAAATATTTTGAATGAATAATAAACCCCTGTAAAACACTGTCAAACTTTAAAAATGTCATCCTCATTAATATTCTTTATATAAAAAATACTAATAAGAATGACCCTGGGAAAGAGTCTAAAACGCGTCTAAAACAGGAACGGGTTGGTACATGTAAATGTCATCAAGGATTACACATGCATAACTGAATGCACCAAAAGTTTGATTGATTTGTCTATAACAAGTATTAAATCGAAAGTTAAATTATGTGGCACCTTTGATACTAGTATTAAGGACCACCGGCTAAACTATTGTGTGCTAGATTTATTTCGCAAAAGCTCTCCTGCTGACCCAAGAACTGTTATAGTCTGGAAAAAAACTGATTTTGAAGGTTAAAAATGCAACCTATCGATTGTTCCTTGGCATGTAATGTTTTTGATAATATTGATGATAATCTCTGGTTAGCAGAGTAACTGTACAAGATGTTTCAAATGTTTTTCTAAAAAAGAGAAAGCTTAAATTACGTAAAAACAGTCTTCTGTGGATAAATAGTAAAATTAAAAAACTGATGAATAAGCGCTATATAGCTTTAATTAAGGCAAAAATCTCGAGAGATCCAGCCTACTGGAGTGTTTATAGAAGGCTAAGAAATGATGTCATTAAGGAATTAAGAATGGCTGAGGCGAACTTTTGGTCATCCAAGTTGAATGGTACTAGAAGTGGCAGCAAGGAATTCTGGAATGTTGTAATGCGCTTGACAGGTAAATCTGCGAAATCAAAGCCAATAGGTCCTATATATTATGAATGAACAAACACAATTAAATCTCGAAGATTCTTAAAAAGCTGACACTTTCAACGTTTTCATTTCAACATTTGGGAAAGAAATTGCCAAATCTTTCGCACTGAGGGAGGTTAACATTGATCCTTCTTTTCGTAGAATTACCCCTTCAATAGGTGCTTTAAAGTTACGTGTCAAAGCTTTTAAAGATAAATTCAAATTGATCAACGAAAACAAAGCTCATTGGGCAGATAACCTGTCGGCAAGCTAGACAGATGAAGTTTGTTGCTGAAGAATTTAGCTCGTGTGTTGCAAATCTGAGTAGGCAAAGTTATGCAGCGGGATTTTATCCCTCACAGTGGAAAATCGGTAAGGAAAAGAGGTAGCAAAGACGATTGCTCTGACTACAGGCTACTAAGTCTCCTTTCTATTCCTATCAAAATTACGGAATCAGTAATCTGTGATAACATTGATCCCCACTTGATAAAAGTACTTCACAGGAACCAGTGGAGGTATAAGAAAGGATTATCCACTGAAGTTCTACTGATATATTTAAGTGAAACTTGGCAATTAAATATCGATAATGGAAAGGGCGTGGGAGTTGTCTTCATAGATTTTCGTAAAGCTTTCGACTCAGTAAACCACGAAGTTGCAAGCTTGTGGATTTTACGAGAACCTTCTGCAGTGGCTAACTAGCTATCTTGAAAACCGTCAACAATTTGTGGAAATAATGGTGTAAAATCAAAACTCCAGTACGTGTCGTATAGAGTTCCACAGCGATCGTTCCCGGACCCACGTCTGTGCCTATTACGTTCATATCAATGTGGTTTCGTCAAGTTCACTCAACCAACATTCTATTCTTGACAGGGTAGAAACTATACAAACCAATATGGACAAAAAACACTTTTCCTGTGGAGTTTTAATTGACTGAAAAAAGGCCTTTGACACTGAGTCACAATATGTTACTTTAAACAGCATGGCTCCCGAGGAAATTTCAATCAATGGTTTTCCTCTTTCTTATCAAATCGCACACAAACTACTGAAATTGATTCAACTAAATTGCAGTGTACCCCAAGGATCTGTCCTAAGACCACTTCTCTTCTTGCTTTATATCAACGACATCCAATATTGTTCGAGCAAACTCCAATTTTTCCCATTTGCTGACGACACTAACGCTCTTAATACTCATAAAGATTTTAAGACACTGGAATTTAAATAAAGTAAATGCAGAATTACATGGCTTGTATAACTGTCTCACTTCAAATAAGCTCTCTCTGAATATTAAAAAATCAAACAATGTAGTTTTTCGTCCATACCAAAAAAACTCAACTACGATCCCTAGGTTAATGTTTTTGACAATAAAAGCACTAAAAAGGTTACTCTTGAACGTAAAACTTCAGTTAAATATCTTGGACTGTTAATTGATGAAAATCTATCATGGAAGAGCCATATTGACTCTGCTGCAAACAAAATTAGAAAAACAATTGGGCTAATTGCGAGGTTAAGACATTTTGTTTCCACTTGCACCCTCCTAAATATTAATTAAGATATCTAACTTACGGTCTTATCTCTTGGGGCAACGTGTGTAACACTTTCCTTGACCAAATTATTGTCCTTCACCTTTACGAGCTCTATCTTATGAATCCGTTTGTAATCTTGTGTATGATGTAAATAAAAACACTGCTCCGGAAAATATTTTGAAACTTTTCTCTCAAATTTTTACTGTTCATACAGGTACTTACAATACACGTGCCTCAACCTCTGAACATTTTCATACTCAAGAATCTAGACTCAATGTCAAACGAAATGCATTCTCGCGTGTTGGGATCAAAGTTTGGAGCGGGATACCTCAAATTGTTAAAAAAAAGACCAAAAAAAACTTTTAAAAGATCATGAAAAACAAGGCTATATTCTTGTAGATACCATTGTGAAAATGAAAAAGTAATTCTCTTGTCCTTTATTATTCATTTATTATTTATATTTCTCTCCAATATGTTTCCTAGTATTACGTAGAATAGTATTTATTCAATGTAAAATATATATAACGTCTATTTTTTTACATTTATTCAGTTTGTTGAAATGTAATTATGTAGCCTGGCCTTCCTCGAATAGCCTCGCTAACTGCAGGCCAGTCCCCATATATTTTGTAATTTATTTATGAAATTAAATGAAAGTTGAAGTTGAAGTTGAAGTTGATAGATAATATTAAACTCACAAAAGGCATAAACATTTTTGATGCACGCAGTATCTGCTTTAATGAAACACTAACACAGTTCACCTTAATATAACCTTTTAGAAATGCTGATAAAAGGGGGAACTGTACGTGGAACCTTCCCTGTCCTGTTATGGGCAATTGGATATACACATGTAGTAAATTTCTTTAACTGACTGAATTGATGTTTTAGTTTCACCATAAATTTTTTCTTTATTGATCTGGAAAGGGGACTCTTTTACGTTTCTGTGAGTGGTACTACAGCTGTACTAGAGAGAAACCTGTTATGATTAAGGGAGTTTGTTTGTCATTCATTATTCCCAATAGATTTAAAATGAAATTTTGATCCCATTGCTCCTCTTCAGCTGTTATTGATACACAACTTAAAGAATGAAATAATATTATTCCTGAAAAGAGTACTTTAACTCCTTCGAAATAATATTCATAAAAAAAACTTCATTCATGAATAAGCTAATCGCAGTAAAAAATGACAACGTACTCAATTATCAAACACGATCAGATTCAAAGGTACATATTAATTATCAAAGAACTAATATTAGGAAATTCTCTGTAAAATATGGAGGAGCAAAAATATGGAATAATTTGCCAGATAACTTTAAAAAAACAAAAGATCTTACGATCCTTTTAAATGTTCAGTTAAAAACAGAATACCTCGCCGTTATTGACTTCAGCTCCGTCTGAACTACTCTTTGCTTTTCCTTCAGCCATTTTGTTCACTGCGTGGTATTTTCCCTGTCAATATTTTAAATTGTTTAAGTTAGTAAACAGCATTAAAACGAAGGTAACTTAGCATTAAGAACCCAGAAGTATCTCCACTCCACCGCAAACGTAGATTTCAGTCCACCATGGTTTTATACTAAGACAGGATAAAGAGTATTTCTGACGATGAGATATTTAACCCCCTATTGTGAGCCATCTTGATGTCTGCTTTGGCAATTTATTATTATTCAAGTAATAATAACTATAACAAAATTCTCAAATCTGATTGGCTATCAACTGTCCTGATTTCAGTCTTAACGGGACAGTTTAAAAGGAAAGTACGCGCCATCACGCGCGCGCTTAAATGGCTTTTTTTCACTGCTAGCAAAAAAACTTGGAATTTATTGTGTTTCGATTCACAGAAGAGCCTTTTTTTCTTACAAATTTTGTTAAAGTTATGATTAATTGGTAACAAAACTTAGTGTCGTCCAATTCGAGCTCAAATTATA